TGTATAAAGTTCTATCTTATCGACAGAATAGGTTCAATGCATGTACACAACAATGAACTGTCGTTTTCACACCAATCTCAGTACTTTCAGTTATGTTATATTGGTGAACGCAAAAACGACCACATTCATACTGTTTAGCGCGCAATCAAGACATGATGGAATGTCAATGTTCTCGATTGCTGCCCGCTTTTATTTTTTTTTTTTACCACAATCGTTTCATTAATTATCTCATTTACTATATAAAGGCAAATCACTGTTAGCATGCTACATTTAAATACCTCTTGAAGTCCAGCGAGTCCGCTCTCATACAAACCAGCACAACAAAGATTTCAGCCAGTAAAATGAGTTATATTTTACAGTATTATTTGATTCGCCGAGCCGTAATTGCAATTGCCTAATAACGTACTTCATAAAATTATAGTAAAATCAAAAATGTGTTTCAACTTTCGATGACGATGCGATACAAGTCGAGCCGCTATCGCTTATCACAGATTCGTAGGAGTTGGGGGTAGTTCTTCCAAAAAATGATAACGCGTGATAAGAAAAAAATGTTACATAACCTATAAAATGTGTAATACTACAGATAGTACCAACATCGATTTTACCAAAAACCCGCCAAGAGATATTTCGTATTTTAATATCAAAAACATTGCCTTTAGTTAGGTTCTTATCTTTATTGCAAATTGTAGTTAGATCTTTATCAATTATCTAATTTAAATCGTATACACTATACACGTAAAATTCATAATAAATTACATTATATTATAGTATATACCTATCATATAAGTATATGTTATAATTTAATATTATTTGGTATAAAATAATAATAATTTTATTAAAATTTCCCTCAAATTGTTTATATTACTATTTAAATAAAACATTATTTTTACTTAAATTAGTTAACGATTTCAGAATTTGGCTGTCAAGTATAAATTAGTTTTACCACATCTTACATATGTATTCTGTAGTTAAAGAATACAGGTAGGAGCTTATAAGCTTTGTCTTCAATCTTGTCTTTTAGAAGATATATTATTAACAAAATTTGGTACCTAAAGGATATATTAGAGCAAGATAACGGAACATATGACACTTGTAGTTTAAATACCTTACATGAATAACTAGAACCAAACACATATTTCATTTTCAAGTTTCCACATAAATCAATATATACATTATAAGGTTATAGTCCTAAGTGAACCTTTTGCCAGATAAAGACTCGTGAAGAGAAAAAAATTGTTGTACGGCCCCTTTTGCATGGGATAATAGGTAGATAATACGAATATGGCATAATATAAAATTACTGTAAACTAGATTTAACAATTCTGTTGTATTAATAAAAATGATCAAACTTGGGTCGTAATCGTATAAACGTCATACTCAATAAATATATAATGTAATTTAATAAAAACTTGCTTTTATGTTGGTGAGATTATCAAATCAGACTGATCGGTATTAAAATACCTTGCAAGACTGAATGTTATTTATAATCAATTAGTAGGTTTTTAAAATAATTATTATTCACTTAATATTTTACAGAAATTAGTTTATATTAAGCTACTCTGGGTATATATTTTTATTATATAAACCTAACTAAACAATATGAATTTGTTCTGAAATAGTTATTCATATGATTTAAAAATATGATACAATTTTTGGTCAATATAAATTTGCAAATTTACAATTATCTCTTGATTTGAAAATGTCCTTGTTTGTTAGAAGATTGCATAGCCCATATTTTATTAATCTATGTACTTATTCATTTAATATGGCCATTTACTTAGTGAATAGTTAAATTAATAATTTATGAATAATTACACCAGAAATCGCATAATATGACAATTGATACACATTAATGCGAGCGTATCAAATACTCATCACATAAATGTTAATCTACCCTTGGTACGGTACAAAGATCTTAATTAAATAACTGCAAAACTTCTTCAAACGATTGTACTGTTCCATCCTTTATAAATTAGATATGGTACCCTCGTGTTTAATATATATTTTTCTGTTCTAGGAACTTGCTTTCTGTTGTAGTTCAATAATTTTTGGATTAAGTCCTGCCGTTTTACGGTGGACAATATTGACATAAAGCTTTTTTTTAATTATTTTAATTAATACTCTGATAATCAGATAGTATAAAAATCTATTAGAAATTAGAATACCTACTTAGGTATATCCATATTCCATTTAGATCTTTTAAAATTATATTTTCATAGATCCATAGATTTATAAGAATTTTTGATATTGCACATTTCCAAACATAAGTAGAATTAAATGTCTAAAGTGATGCTGTAAGATACTAGTGAAAAGTAATAAAATATTTTTGTACAAGCCTGGCAAAGACTTGGCTAATTATCTTTTACCTCGATTGCCTTTGTAGAAATACAATTATTATCAATTAAATTTGTTTCTTATAGAAGTGATATTATAACTTTTCTTTTATTAATTCTGCCTACATTCCATTTATTAAGAAATGTATACTTTTCTTATATTATAAAAAAAATAGAAATAATACATATTATAAAATAAATAGATACAATTGCAAGTTGCAGCACCTCATCATATTCATTTATCTCTTATCTCGTTCTCATCGAGATCTGCTGTTAAAGCTCTTTTTGCCCACAATAAGTTTAATAAGTTATAATAAGACTGATTTAAGTATGTTAATATTTACTTAAGATTGGTGAAGTTGTGAAAATTTAAATGATATAAACGTAGCTATGGACATATTTAATGTGAAAACTAATGAGGCTATTTCCAATTCCACTAATATGTATATAATAAAATTGTCAAATCAGAAATTAAAAGAATGAATATCAAGCGGTCAGGTTAACTCTATTTTAACTAAGTGAACATTTAAAAACAGATTAGATAATCCCATTTTTATTTAACATTAATTAAAAATGGTATAATTGTGTTAGGAATATCTATACCCCCATAATTTTGGTTAGAAATACTAGATTAAACTAGTAGAAGATAATTCTAACTTTATACTGTTAAACAGTTGTACTTAACTAAATTGTAGTTAACAATGAAAAGTATAAAAGTTGTAGGTATTTAATTTATCATTATTTTCAGGTAAGTGCCCCAATAGTTTTAACAAATGTGTCTTCATTCCTTTACACAAAACAGGAAATAAATAATTGTTCAGTAATTATTATCTATTATTTCAGTCGGTAATTATAATTACTAGGGCTCTAGTTATAATTACTAGACTGTAGCCATTATAAACCAATATCGTTATCACTGTCTCTATCAAAAATATTTGAAAATCATTAAATCCCAAATAATGAAGTAATATAATGTTTAGTTATTAAAACATATTTACATGGTTTTACGAGTTTTTATAGTTGAATTTGAATAAAACTGAACATATGGTTTTCAATATTCAAAACTATTTTAATCTAGATAACTTAAAGTTTAGAGGTCAAAACTGTGTAGAGCTACAAAATTGTGTTTCATGAATTATGATTCATATAAGATGTAACTGCGTTACTATTAAAAATAAAATAGTTGTATACTTTGATTCATTGATAACTGACTAAAATGAAAATATCAAAAATATTGAATATGTTATAAAACTATTCAATTATTATCAAGACATTATTTATATATATCTATAGTTATTAGATAATAGCAGGTATTGTTAAGGGTTAAACTTACTAAAGCTAATTTATTATTTAAATGTTGAATCTATAATTATTTACTACATTATACTATGCATATAAATAAAGATAACGGTATCTGGACTTTATAATACAATTTATATCGAACACATCATTGTATACTCAAAGAGAGTATTCAATATGTTAAACATCCTTCGTTTAAACGTATTATATAATATCACTTAATACAATACACAGATACAAATCACTCGTTATCGAGAGTAAACGTGTCTATGAGAACAGATTTAGAAAAAATACATTTGGTTTACTTTTACTTTATTGTGTCAAAAACTACATCTAAAAACTAATGCATTTCTAAATAATAAAATTATAAACAAATATATACTATATACTAAATACGCTTTGTTTTTTTATCATAATTAAATATTATTTAATTAAAAATTATCAAAAAAGTAAGTGGTTATTAAAACATGTTTTCAGTTGTAAAATAACACAAACAAAAATGTTTTGAAAAATAATTTTACCTAATTGAAATTATTATGAGAGAAAATTAGTCAATCACACTATATAATTAAGCTAACCAAGAAAAAACAACTTTTATTTCTTAAAAACAATATAGACTTCCTGTCTATCAGGCTACCTATAGTAACACAGTATACATTTCAGACCAATTTTATAATTTATAAAGTACAATTCATAAAGTTTGATAAGTCATTTAAATAAATAATAAATAGTAATAATAGAAATAATAAATGTAATAGTTTAAAACACATAAAATAATCTGGTAAAAAGTATAAATAGTATAAAATGATACTTAAGTAAAGATATTTTTTAACTAAAAATGTATATATTATAAACTAAACATCAAAATTTACAAATGTATAATTACTTGGTTTAGCAAAAAAAAAATTGTACCGTTTTTTTTTTTTAATCTAGGTATTCAAAATTTTGACTACACAATTTTTCCTAACAACATCAACATAATTTCACAACAGTTTACAAATTTTCAATCTATCAGTTAGGTCAAGATATTTTTACAATAAATTAATATTTTAATGTTATTAAGGTAAGTAAATATTAATAAATAAGCAAATACAGAAGCTACATTTATAATTTATTTGGTAGGCTAATAATTATGTTTGTCAAAATTGTAATAGTAATATACTGTTAGTATCGTTAAACTAAAGATACTTGTATTGACACTTAAAGTGTAAAAATATTCAAACAATACAAGTATTCAAAAAAAAAAAAAATTTAAACAATCTTAATTTTGTTTTAATGTAGTTGAAAATTAAAAATATTTAGCCAAATGAGATATCAGTGTAGTGGTCATAAATACAGTACAGTTTATATGGACGTTGAAAACAGGATAATAAGTTATTCAATAAATAAACAACTGAATTACAGTTGATTAATAATAAATTATAATGAGACTTTTTTAAATAAAATTAAACAAAATATAAAGAGATTGGAGATGATACTACGATGTTTAACAGCAGGTAAACAGAAATACTGGGTGGCGTTTATACTGTTAGTCTGATACAGAATATTCTTCCAGGGGTTTTGCACAAAATCCAATTAACTTCAACAACAAATATTCAAATATAGTGTCAAAAATCCGTCATGGATTACAGTGTCCATGGAGAAATATATGATATGTCCATTTAATCTTCCTCTGGTCACATTCTAGCTGAAAAAACAACAAATGGTTAAATAATATTAATAATATTTATAATATAAAACCAATTTTAAATGAATTACTAATGTTAACGTTTGTTAATTGTGAAGTTGAAATTAAATATAACGAAAATTGATAATGACATTTTTTTATACCATTCAACTTAAATTATCTATCAATAACACTTGGAAGAGTGATTTCATGAATAGACTATATTTGTGACCGGTATATATCAAGTGGACCTAGTTTGTTATCTCATACCAATGAAACGTAAGATCTACAAGTAAATGCAATTTTTCTTGTACAAAAACTAACAATGTTAGAAAATAGTAAATTAAATTATTAAAAAGAAAAATAATTTACATTTGATTTCTTTTTTTTTAAATACCCTATATTAGGGTGTTTTAGATTGATATTAAACTAATTTTGTATCAATATTTGTATTAATACTACAAATCTAGAATGTTTTCCTTACCTAGTCTATTTAGACAAATGATAAAACAATTATTTCTTCCAGTTAGTGTCGAAGGAGAACTGTTCAACCAGAATCTTTGACTCATCTTCAAAATGAAAGATATATTATTAATAAATAAGTTAAAAGTTGAAATGTTAATTATTAAAATAATAGAGATTAAATCAATTAAAACAATTTTACAAAAAATAACTCCATACCTGTTACCACACTTAATCAGACTAGAGATAGTTTCAGGAATCGAACCGCTCTAATGAATAAGCATACCGATAAGCTTTTTATGACTTCAGACAACTACCATCATACTGTAAAACATAATTTACTTGTATTAATAGTTTTATTTAAATAGGATGTAATAATATTGTCACACAAATTAGTACAATATAGTGTATGTATGAACTTTGTCGCTAGGTACTATAATTGATAAATATATTATGTTATTCATATTAAATATTGCAAGTTTATATTATGTGAAAATAAGAGTTTTGAATTATGAATTAAAAAAGAATTCTAATAAAAATATTAATTTAATATTAATAAGAAACGAAAGTAAATTTTATTTACCAATTATTATCGTTATCATATGAACTAGTTGGTTTTTTGTCATTATAAATGTATCGTAAAAATGTGTACTATTTAAGAAAATATAATATATTTTAACACGGTTATTTTTTTTTATCATTTGAATTATTGCCGTTTAGTTCTAGAGATAACAGTTAACTCTGATAAACGTTAGTTATATTTTAGTTACTTTTATTCTAATAGAATTGGCAGACTGATAGAATGTGATTTTATATTTTGGTGTTTCTGGGTTGGTCACGCTGATAAAATAAAAATTGTGTTATCTTTTGGAAGAACTCTTATCTCTTATCATTTTTTGGAAGAACTGCCCTGTCATAGACCTATAAAGAAATGGACTGATAGTAGAGAGAGAGGTCCGAATATCGACATCGTTAAAAAGAGACAGAGCGTTGTTAGGTTGGTCATGGGAGAAATAGTAATATGATAATACCCGATAGCGAAATTTTTATATTAAAATATTTTAATTATTCTTGTTAGTAATTAAAATATTGAATTTCGTTTAATTTCTTATAATGGTTTTTCAATGTGTCATTCGTTCGTGCAAAACAAAATCAAATAAAGATTGCATCATGCATCGGTAAGTTGAGACATTATTTACTTATATTATATTTTTATACGTGTGTGAAGTTAGCCATAAACGAGCCAGCAATATTTGATAACAGAAAGTGTCATGGCGTTGGTGTATGTTGTGTTGCCAATACACTTATTATTCTAAGGGGCAGTCCATATATACCCCAAACAACGACGATTATTATTATACGATATCGACTTAAATAATTAAAATATATTATAATTATCGACAAAACAGTAAGAGTATATTATTTAACTTAAAAAAATGGCACTTGGGGTTTTGCGGCCGCCGAACCCAACCCAGCAATAAAAAAGCAGCCGACCGCCGACCGATTGCCGACCTAAAACGACGGCAGTTATGTCAATTTTTAACAATGTTCCGGAAGAGGTCCCCTTAATTTGATTATACCAATCGAAAGCTTACTAAAATGTCTAAAAATTCGTCTCTATGAAAAAAGTTGGCACCGGGGGTCGTGCGGCCACCAGAAGCCGCCGAACCCAATCCAGCAATAAAAAAACGGCCGACCGCCGACCTAAACCGACGGCAGTTATGTCAATTTTTGACAATGTTCCGGAAAAGGTCCCCTCAATTTGACTATACCAATCGAAAGCTTACTAAAATGTCTAAAAATTCGTCTCTATGAAAAAAGTTGGCACCGGGGTCTTGCGGCCACCAGAAGCCGCCGAACCCAATCCAGCAATAAAAAAACGGCCGACCGCCGACCGATTGCCGACCTAAACCGACGGCAGTTATGTCAATTTTTAACAATGTTCCGGAAGAGGTCCCCTTAATTTGATTATACCAATCGTAAGCTTACTAAAATGTCTAAAAATTCTGTCTCTATGAAAAAAGTTGGCACCGGGGGTCTTGCGGCCACCAGAAGCCGCCGAACTCAGGCACAAAAATATAAGCAGCCGGCCGTCTACCGACCGCCGAAGAAGCGCTTATATAATGTTAACTAATCATATAATTTGTTTTAAAATAATTTTATATTACATTTAATGAAAACAATATATAAATCAATCTGTACTTATTTTTTTAAAAGTTAATTTTAAAAAACATTGCATTACATTTATGCATAATCAAAACATTTGTATAAAATAAAAGTGTATTTAATATATATTTGTATAAACAGATTCGATTTAAATATCAATATTTCATTGACACTAAAATTAAATAAATATACATTAATCTCTGTGTTATAAAATCCTAGCCCCTCTAGAATGGCATTAAGTAATTCCTCGTTATATATTATAATTTTAACGTCCCTTGTTCTGGCGGCGAATCGGTCGCGCCGAAATCTCCGGGTTCGGGCACCGCGACCAAAACCGGTTTTAGGTGGCAACTGGCATGTTTGATAACAATTACAATAATAACAATAATAGAGCATTATCGTATGTTGAAAGGCACTGGGCGTGACAACAGTAACCGGTTCAGCAGGTGCCCCGTGCCGTGGAAAAAACCATGATAAATAGTATATAAAATATCTATTTAAAGCAGCTAAGCTACTTTGGAGTATCTAAAAAAAAAAAAATAACAGGCACCTAACTGGTGGCGTTGCGTCACTACTATAGATTAAATATATGCTATTGTAGTAAGCAGAGCTCACTTCATAAAATTGAGGACCAAGAGAATATATATAAACCACGTTTTAACTTAAAAGACTTTAAAGCTGTAATTTATAATAAACACACAATAACAATTATATATATATATATAATTATAACTTTTACTGACACACTATGTCTATGATCTGGCATAAGTAACTAGCCTAATTGTGGTTAATTAAAAAACAGTTTATATAGTAATATATAAATTAGTGAATGACGTTTAACTTAGAGAACTAGGAAGGCCTAATAATATTATCGTGGATGCGCGTGAAAAAGAGATTAAGTCAACATTTTGTGCAAAATGAGTTATATGCACCGACAAATTCACAAAAAAAACTATCATTTGTGTTTTATAGTTTAAGTCTAAGTGTAATATTCAATGAATAATAAAGAAGTGTTTGATGAGATGTCACTATTTTTCTGATCTTAGTGTATTTTGTAATAAGTCGACTTAAATATTTTTGAATTTACAATTTAATAGTGTTCTAGTTCTAATTTATACAGGAAAGTATAAAACAAGTTATTTTATTATCTTATTAAAAAGATATTTATCTTATCCTAATACCTGATCTTACATATTCTTCTAAACTTTATTTTCCATTTCCTGAAAAGTTCATAGTGGTTGACTTAACCCCTTTTTCACGCGCACCCACGAATTTTAAAAATAATTACAAGGGGTAACTAGACGTGACCTAGTTTACAATAAGAAATACTGTGTAATAACAATTTAAAAGTTTAAGGCCTATGGGCTATGATGTCATTTAGCCAATCATGACATCCTGCAAAACAACCTAACTATAATATATAAAATAATATAATATAAACTAATATATAATATAATCCATTAACATAAATTAACAATAACCCAGAATTATGAGCTGCTTACATAATTACATTGTGTTTGAATTAATTTTATAATCATACTAGACCCGATATTCTATCATCCCTTTGAAATAGTCCATAGTGGTTTTAAAAAACACATTTTGCGTAGCTAACTTATAGGCCAGTAAATACAAATTTAAGCAAAAATAAAAAAAAATCTCAAAGAATTATTTTTTTGTAAGTGTACTATGTAGTAGACTACAGCAGTAGGAAAATAAATTAAGCATTACGATTTCATAATATTTATTTAATATTTAGCTGTAGAATAATAATTTCCAGCAATTTGTACACATGCCCTACAGGCTACAGCCTACATCATTTTAATGTAGCATAAGAAAAATCATATCCATTCGTTGCAGCTGTAGTGTACGCGTCTGTGAAGGACCGTACAGTACACTAAACGACTAACGGTATCGGCAGGACTAGGAGTCGTTGTTAAATAATTAAACACATTTAAACTTAGTTAATATTAGTGTTCAAGCGTTATCAAGCCGGGCACCGTCCCACCACCACCGACTGCACCGACCACCACCGCACCATATCACTTACTATCCGTTTTTTGTTGTTGTTTACCGCATCGTACCGACCGCACCGTTAACCGCACGCGTAAAAGAAACTTTACACCGTTTTTCGTTATTTGTTGTTGTTTTTTTTTAATTATTAATTACATATCAACCGCCTGCTGTGATGAGCTCGTGTACTTGTGCGACGTTCGAAGAATTAGTCTTGTTCTCGTAAAGTAATCAACAGTTTGCGGGCTTTCACCACCGTTCAGACGACCGTACCGTCTTGCAATACCACCACTACCGACCGTCACCGTTCTCGTATTTTCAAGTTGTAAATATTTGCTTATTGTATAGTTTTAGTTTTAAGTCCTTAGTAATTGTTGTTGTAGTGCGCTGGCCAGCCGGTAAGACATTTGTATACTTAACTTTGGTTTTAATAGTAGTCTGCATGCTTTTAATTATCATTTGTTTTTTTTTTGTATATATATTTGAAACCAATACAGTCCACAACATTACCGAACATTATTGGTCCTTCGAGCCTAGGATTATTTATGTATTTTAGTATTAAGTTTTCCTAAGTGGTTGAACCACCGGTTTTAAGTTTTAAGTTTTTAAGTTGGCGTATAATAATACACTTGTTGCGCGTGTGCAAAGTTGGACTTTGGACCCTGCCGTCGGTATAGTACGACGCGAGTATACACGCGATAAGTGGACGTAGCCACCCCGCGCCGCGAAGGCAACGGACACCGCACCGCGTTGCCAAAGCTCGCGGCCGCTCGCTGCATAACACCGCGCGCCGCCACGTCTTGTGTGCGTGTATACAGCGTGACCCCAAGTATAAAAAAAAAAAAAAATTGTATTTCTAATTTTTCATTTTTTATTTTTATTTTTTTTATTTTTCTGTTCCTGTGCTTTATAAATTACACAATGGGAGTTTACGAGGAAGCAAAGGCGCGCATAACAAGTCTTCAGTGTCGAGTACAGCGCGTATACGAGGCCGGGGAAGCATTGGGAAATGATTCTTCAAACAAGTTGGCCAAAACTAAATTTAAAATTATGTTTGCGACAATAGAAAATTTATATTCGGATTTTGAAACGCAATTAATGGTAATAATACGTCACCAATGTAAAAGTACACCCGTGGTAGATGCTATCGACACCGATAGTGTGCGTGCTCTTTTTGAGGAGAAGTATATCGGATGTAAAATATTTGCGGACGAATACTTACCGGAGGCAGTTGTCGACGATTCGCTCAACAAAACATTTTTTGAATCAAAAGCTCTCAGCGCCTCACAACCCTATCACCCGATCGAAAAATTAGCAGTACCTAAATTTGGTGGAAACCCTATGGAATATACCAGTTTTAGGAATATGTTTGACAAATTAGTTGGTGAATCTAATATGTCGCCAGTGGTGAAGTTTGGTTACTTGAAATCTTATTTGGTGGGAGAACCATTAAGTTTGGTATCTAATCTCATGTTGACTGATAGCAACTACGAACTAGCTTTGGCGCAGTTAACTGATCGTTATTCAAACCGCCGTGTTATCGCGGATAGTCACATTGAAGCTCTATTTAACGCGCCAAGAGCAACCTTCGGTGATGGTAGTTCTATAAGAAAACTACTAAATGTAATTTTAGAATCAACGGGTGCTCTCCAAAATCTATCGTATGCAGTAGATCAATGGGACCCCATTCTACTACATCTATTACAAAAGAAATTAGACAATTATTTAAGAGCGCAATGGGAACTACTAGTAGATACCTCCGAGGACCCATCTATGAAGGAGTTTACCACGTTCTTAACAAAATACTGCAAATCAGCTACCGTATCGCAAGGAAGTGTCAAGGTAACCACAAAAGGACTCAAACCAAACAAATCTATCACATTATTCAGCAGCCAACCAGAACGAAAGCTTGAACAGGGAAGGAAGAATAAGTCATTTTCCTGTCCTGTCTGTAATACACAACCGGGTCACTTGCTGATAAACTGTCAATCGTTCAAAGATAAAACACCAACCGAACGGCATCAAACAATCAAGGAATTGAAAAGATGTTTTATCTGTTTCAGTGCGCACATGGCCAGTGAATGTAAAAACCAACGAAACTGTTCTACGTGTGGGGGTAAGCACCATACTCTACTGCATTTGGAAAAAACCGAACCGAACGTTACCACGACCCATTTAACCGTTGCGGCTGCAGAAACAAAAGGTTATCATACGTCCGTTTTATTAGCGACAGCCTCTGTAGTTCTGCAAAACAAAAATGGTCAATCGGTTACAGTAAGAGCACTACTTGACAGCGCAAGTCAAAGTAGCTTTGTCACTGAACGTTGTGTCCAGCTTTTAGGCTTAAAAAGAGAAAAGTGTGATGTAACCGTTCAAGCGTTGTCCGGAGCTGAAGTCCCAGCGGTAAGAGGAAGAGCTAATGTCGAAGTACGACCGGTCGACCAACAAAGTCCCATGTTCAGCATTGACGTTTTAATTCTAACGCGTATTACTGGACCAGTTCCGTCGAAAAGAGTGTGGAATCATTCATGGCCACACATCAAAGGTTTGAAGTTAGCCGATCCATCGTTTGCCGAAGCGTTACCAGTTGATGTCTTGCTCGGCGCTGATGTCTTTCCACAGCTTCTCTTAGGCGACAAGGAAGAAGGTGAGGTAGATGAACCGATGCGCTATCTACGGTGTTTGGCTGGGTTTTGATGGGTAAAACGACCAACGGTCCAAAACAACAAATTATCACTTTATGTTCGTCTGAATCCGTAAATCATACGTTACAACAATTTTTCGAGATCGAAGAAGTTCCAAAAGTTGAGAAAAATAACCCAGCCGATTTAGAGTGTGAGCAAATTTATCAAACAACCACAACACGACAACAAGATGGACGATACATAGTGCATCTTCCGTTCACACGAAATCCCCCTCTACTTGGGAAATCCAGAGACGTAGCGCTGCATCGCTTACGAAGTTTGGAAAATAAGTTCAAAAAATCACCAGAACTTCATAAAGAGTACAATATGGCAATGTATGACTACTTAGAAACAGGTCACATGTCCGCTGTAGTGAAAAAATCCGACGGTGAAGAAAATATGTATTATATCCCACACCAAGCTGTATTACGTCCGGAAAGTACTACTACTAAATTGCGGGTCGTGTTTGATGCGTCCGCAAAAACTTCTTCGGGTCACTCATTGAACGACAATCTTTATTGCGGTCAAAGATTACAGCAGGACTTACCGGGAATTGTTTTACGTTTCCGACTTCATTCTGTTGTTTTTACCGCTGACGTAAAACAAATGTTCAGACAAATTGTTGTGACCGAAGCTCACCGACCGTACCAACGCTTGCTTTACCGGTTCTCTTTGGATGAACCAGTTCAAGAATATCAAATGAACACGGTAACTTTTGGACAAAAGTCATCTCCATTTCTCGCCATCCGCACTCTGCATCAGTTGGCAACTGATGAAGCAGTAAATGAACCACTTGTACAAACAGTTGTTAAACGTGATTTGTATGTAGATGACATAGCAACCGGAGCCGAAAGCGAAGAAGCTGCAATAGATCTACAGAAAAAACTCGAAAACACGTTTGCAAAAGGTCACTTTGAGTTACGCAAATGGTCAAGTAATTCCGACAAATTACTGAGTAACATTCCATTTGATCACCAACAAACACTACCAGTGACGTTTGAAGAACATGAGTTGACATATACCAAAGTCTTGGGACTAAATTGGGATCCGAAGGTTGATTCACTAAGCTACAAATATCAACCCAATCCGGTTAAATACAGCAAGCGAGCTATTTTATCCGAGATCGCTAGAATCTATGACCCTCTAGGTCTATTGGCACCAGTAACCACGGTTCTAAAACGTTTGATAAAATATCTATGGGTCTTGAAAGTTGACTGGGATGACATTATACCCGAAGATGCTAAATATGCGTGGCAGCAATATCATCAAGAGTTACCAATCCTGGCAACCTTGCGTGTACCCCGATTAGTAACCAGTCCAAACGCACTCTATGAACTACACGGTTTCAGCGATAGTTCGGAAGCCGCGTACGCAGCAGTAGTGTATTTGCGGGTATGTACAAGTGATAGAATAGGTTGTCATCTCTTAATGGGTAAGGCAAAAATTTCTCCAACCACAAAAATGTCCATCCCGCGGTTAGAGCTGTGCGGTGCGTGGTTATTAGCACACCTTTTGGATTACGTCTCCAAAAACCTAAAATCTTTATCCATTGGCACCGTAACCGCCTGGACCGATTCCACTGTTGCGCTGGCATGGATTAAATCCCCTACTAGTAGGTTAAAAACGTTTGTTGCCAACCGAGTCGCCCAGATTCAGCTGTTGACTAAAGGGTACACGTGGCGTCACGTTCCAACCGAGGAGAACCCTGCTGATTGCGCTTCACGGGGTCTAAGTCCTCAACAACTTACTAACCATGACTTATGGTGGAAAGGTCCTACATTTTTGTGTCAACCTAAAAATACTTGGCCAGCTCAAAACGCTGACAGTCCAGACAGCCGTTTGGAAGAAGAGGCGGAAGAGAAGCCAATCACGCTTATATCTCAGGTAAAAGAAGAAGAGAGCCGCCTTTTATATCAATCTGATAATCTGCAAAAAATTTTGAGACTTACGGCTTACTGGTTGCGTGTTGGAGATCATTTATTGGGAAAACCTTCGGCTTGTATTTTCCCTCCGACAGTGGCCGAAACCGAGAGATCTTTACGATCGTTAATACGATGGACGCAGCGAGTATTTTTTGCAGACATCAAAAAAGCTATTGCTACAGACAAACAAGTACCTGCATCCGTACGTAAGTTATCACCTTTCTTAGATGAGAAATCGTTAATCAGAGTAGGTGGTCGCTTGAAAAACTCACCAATTCCTTACGACGAAAAGTACCCCATCTTGCTACCGAAAAATTCTAAATTGACTGAATTGCTGATAGATTTTGTGCATCGTACTAAGAGTCATCCGGGAGCTCAAACTACACACAACATTTTACGCCAAAACTACTGGATTCTTTCGGCTCGTAGCATCATCAGGAAGCGAATACACCAATGTATCCCATGTTTTCGAGTAAAACCACGACCAAACCCGCCCTTGATGGGAAATCTTCCAGTGTTTCGAGTTACCCAGGTCAAACCGTTCAGTCGCGCTGGTGTAGATTTTGCCGGTCCTTTTCAAGTGAAGGCCGCAATGTTACGGAAAATTAAAGTTACCAAAGCTTACCTTTGCATCTTTGTTTGCATGGTTACCACAGCAGTTCATATCGAGCTCGTGTCAGACATGTCCACGCCTCTTTTTATTGCCGCCCTAAACCGGTTTATTAGCAGACGGGGTCGTTGCACAGATATTTACAGTGACTGTGGCACGAATTTTGTGGGCAGTCAGCGATACCTAAAGGAGGTAGATACCATAATTAGAGAATCAAAATTCGTTCATCACGTCATCAGTACGCAGATTCACTGGCATTTTAACCCGCCCGCAGCACCACACATGGGAGGTCTGTGGGAGGCAGCCGTCAAGTCTGCTAAGACATTACTTCACCGTGTGGTTCAAGATAGGATTCTAACCTACGAAGAGCTCAATACCGTTCTACACCAGGTAGAAGCCGTTCTTAACTCGAGGCCTTTATGTACCATGTCATCCGACCCTAACGACTTCACGACCTTAACCGCAGGACATTTTCTTACTATGGAGCCTCTAGTCGCTGTTCCATCTCCTCAGGATGAAATTAGTCAAACCCATATCAGTACCCACAAGCGTTGGTCTTTAATACAGCAGATACATCAACATTTCTGGTCTCGGTGGAAACATGAGTATTTACACAAACTGCAGGAGAAAACCAAATGGAATCGTCAAGTTTCAAATCTAAAAATTGGCGATTTAGTCATTCTCCAAGAACCGACCCCTCCACTCACATGGAGTACAGCTCGAGTGGTTGATACGGTTTCTGGAACTGATGGAGTCGTCCGAGTTGCACAAATACGCACCTCCGCGGGCAAGATCCTCCGCCGCCCGGCGGTGAAGCTTTGTCCGCTACCGTCAAACGTTTGAAGACCTACGGTTCTTCAAGGTGGGCGGTATGTTCAAGCGTTATCAAGCCGGGCACCGTCCCACCACCACCGACTGCACCGACCACCACCGCACCATATCACTTACTATCCGTTTTTTGTTGTTGTTTACCGCATCGTACCGACCGCACCGTTAACCGCACGCGTAAAAGAAACTTTACACCGTTTTTCGTTATTTGTTGTTGTTTTTTTTTAATTATTAATTACATATCAACCGCCTGCTGTGATGAGCTCGTGTACTTGTGCGACGTTCGAAGAATTAGTCTTGTTCTCGTAAAGTAATCAACAGTTTGCGGGCTTTCACCACCGTTCAGACGACCGTACCGTCTTGCAATACCACCACTACCGACCGTCACCGTTCTCGTATTTTCAAGTTGTAAATATTTGCTTATTGTATAGTTTTAGTTTTAAGTCCTTAGTAATTGTTGTTGTAGTGCGCTGGCCAGCCGGTAAGACATTTGTATACTTAACTTTGGTTTTAATAGTAGTCTGCATGCTTTTAATTATCATTTGTTTTTTTTTTGTATATATATTTGAAACCAATACAGTCCACAACATTACCGAACAATTAGTATAATAATAAAAAGTATTATTGGTTAAACTGGATATTTAGCATAATAAATATTTTAAACAGTTTGTAGTACATATAATTTACCCGAGTACTTGTTGCAGTCGCACTACTCTACTAAATAATAGCTTTATAATAAAGAACACCCAAATTGAAGGGCGACAATGCAAAACGTGCTATTGCTATTTTTCGCTTTTTCCAGTGACATCAAATTTCTGTTGTAGCATATAAGAAAGTCATAGACAAAAACTGTAATATTCTAAAAATGCATAAAAGAAATCTGAACTTATTTATGATAATTGTTAATATGTAAATTTAAATTTAGATACATTAAAACATAATTTTGTGAAACGAATCGCGCCAAAACGTACCATATCCACCACTTAGTTTGTTTTGGCAAAATTCAGTAGAAATAGTACGTTTTGGCAATATTTCATAAAAACGTACTATTTCCAACAAATAGTGTATTTTAACATAATATATTTATATAGGTAGTCAATAATATTATTTATTTTAAATAACAAACTATAAATTTTTTTTTCATAATTAACTATTTCCTGAAAAATTAAATATTCCATACATAGTTTTTTTGGTGACTGTAGATTTGTTACAATATGATTTGTATTATCTTGAAAAATTATAAAACCTTAATTAACAGTCATAAAAAAAAATGAATAATATTACAAATATAAAATAAAATAAAAACAAGACACTAATTAACCTTAGTTTATTTACCATCAATTTAAAAAAACTAGTAGACAACTGCCGCCGGTTTAGGCCGGCGGTCGGCCGTTTTTTTATTGCTGGGTTGGGTTCGGCGGCTTCTGGTGGCCGCAAGACCCCCGGTGCCAACTTTTTTCATAGAGACGAATTTTTAGACATTTTAGTAAGCTTTCGATTGGTATAATCAAATTGAGGGGACCTCTTCCGGAACATTGTCAAAAATTGACATAACTGCCGTCGGTTTAGGTCGGCAATCGGTCGGCGGTCGGCCGTTTTTTTATTGCTGAATTGGGTTCGGCGGCTTCTGGTGGCCGCAAGACCCCCGGTGCCAACTTTTTTCATAGAGACGAATTTTTAGACATTTTAGTAAGCTTTCGATTGGTATAGTCAAATTGAGGGGACCTCTTCCGGAACCTTTTCAAAAATTGACATAACTGCCGTCGGTTTAGGTCGGCGGTCAACCGTTTTTTTATTGCTGGATTGGGTTCGGCGGCTTCTGGTGGCCGCAAGACCCCCGGTGCCAACTTTTTTCATAGAGACGAATTTTTAGACATTTTAGTAAGCTTTCGATTGGTATAATCAAATTGAGGGGACCTCTTCCGGAACATTGTCAAAAATTGACATAACTGCCGTCGGTTTAGGTCGGCAATCGGTCGGCGGTCGGCCGTTTTTTTATTGCTGGATTGGGTTCGGCGGCTTCTGGTGGCCGCACGACCCCCGGTGCCAACTTTTTTCATAGAGACGAATTTTTAGACATTTTAGTAAGCTTTCGATTGGTATAATCAAATTGAGGGGACCTCTTCCGGAACATTGTCAAAAATTGACATAACTGCCGTCGGTTTAGGTCGGCAATCGGTCGGCGGTCGGCCGTTTTTTTATTGCTGGGTTCGGTTCGGCGGCCGCAAAACCCCAAGTGCCATTTTTTTAAGTTAAATAATATACTCTTACTGTTTTGTCGATAATTATAATATATTTTAATTATTTAAGTCGATATCGTATAATAATAATCGTCGGTGTTTGGGGTATATATGGACTGCCCCTTAGAATAATAAGTGTATTGGCAACACAACATACACCAACGCCATGACACTTTCTGTTATCAAATATTGCTGGCTCGTTTATGGCTAACTTCACACTCGTATTTTTATACATTTGAATATTGATCATAGGTATATTACTAATAGTAATATACTAATAATATATAATCAATGATTTTTATAATTATATAATTTGTTTCAAAGCTAGCCTAGAAATCATGAAATGCTTTTAAAATGGGCAAATGCGATACGTATGTTTCAACCAGATTTTACTCCGGCGACGCATACAAAAATATGCAGTAGTCATTTTATAGAATCTGACTATAACTTGAGCTTTACTGGTAAAAAAATGTTAAAAAAAGAAGCTGTGCCAAGTGTATTTAAACTGGGTATGTTCTTCCTTATACTTGTAATTGTTACCAAATTTATGTATTTTTTTTATAAATATAATATTGTATATACATTTTGTTAATGTTATGTGATAGTAGGTACCTTTATGGAAGTAATTTTTTTTAGAGTAATTTGTTAATTAAACTTTACTTTTCTTATCTTATCTTATTTACTTATTATTTAATTTCAAACAATATATTATAGAAGCATGTAAGAAATTATTCAATGTTGAAATGGTCGAAGTCTTTGATGATGAAGAAGGAAGAAATTTACTATAAATGCCAAGTAATTTAGAAAATATTTTGTTTTTAATTTTTTATAAATCTCAAAATAAAGCAACTTCTAATGTGTTTTTTTTATTTTAGTGGATGAAGAAGATATTAAAAAATCTGACATCTGATCATCTGAAAGATGAAAAGAAAGTTAATGAAAATTGTTTTTCATTACTCAAGGTAAATATATTATAATAATGTCAAATACATGTTAAAAAAACGTATTTTTTGTATAAAAAAATTAATTTGATTTAATTTTTATAGTTATTGCTGTATGTGTTAAATGGCTTGGTTGATAAGGTTACGTTCAGTGTTCAATGTTCTATGGATTTGTTACCAAAGACAGGGCTTGGATTTTATGCAATCCTGAATTTAAGTATCGTTGATCCGTATCCTTTTACTGTAATATTAATGGCTCATCACAAAAAATATTCTCCTCCTTTATCTTTTTACACTACATGGTTAACTACTATATATTTTATATGTTCTTCACAAAATAATTTTTAAAAATTTCATTGTACGTCTTAATTGTCAATTTTTATCCACCTAAAATAATTCTAATAAGAACCATTGATATTAAAACTGATTCTATCTCAAACATTTTTATCATTATTGCAATGACTGTGTGTATTAATTTGTTATTTTTCAGTAAAATGTGATGTCATATCCATGGCTTTTATAGATATATTTAAATATCTATGAACAGTTTCATTGAGGAACAAAACAAAATAGACCGTTGTGTATTGTTAACAGTTTCACTCGTAATACAATTTTATTTAGCGATGAAGAACATTTTTCTAAATATAATATTTATTTACTCGTTTTAATAATGTATGAATAGCATAACTTCTTTAAATTTTTTAGTGAAATCAAAATGATGTTGGGGCTTTGTGTTTATATGTTTATATTTTTTAAATAAAAAATATACTATTGGTGATAAAAATAATAAAATTGTTGTGTTATGTCTATTAATTTTTTTGGTTACAGTATAGTTCTTACTTTTGTTTATTTGTAAAATTATACCCTAAAGAATTTATATATATATATATATATATATTTTTTTTTTTTATAAAGGAGTCTACCTAATGTAGAAACTGCTTTAATTATGCGACAAATTCATCACGAGTCTGGTGCATACTCTCCTGAGTTACGTACTTTTGCTCTGACATTACATTTTTATTTGCCAACTGCATATAATTATATTATATTGGTCGTAACTTGAAGAAGAAACAAATAAGTAGTGATTTTACAATACCTAGTGAATTTGTTTAAACTTAGATGCAGATCTGTGATACAATAAATTGTCTATTGAGTTTGTAAAGAAAAACTATTTTTCAAAACATACACGTTTTATAAAAAGTAAAACAGAATGTTCATTGATAAAATTTGAATGAAATTGTAATGGTTTTTAAGTATTTATTAACGATATACTATATACATATCTACTTAAAACAATACATCATACGAAAGCATTGGATACCCGACAAAATAATGAAATACATACCCTTAAATGTTTTACAACTTCGCATAACACAATAATAAATAATAATTAAATAAGTTTTAATTATTATAAATTTCCATTTGGTGTATTGTCATATATATATATTTAAATTATTATTATTCCATGTCTTTTCAATTTTTATTCCATGGTCAACCTAACAACCATCTATCTCTTTCTAACGTTGTTCATAACGCGGCAGCATAGGCGGGGTGTGTGAGAGGCGCAGTCCATATTTTTATAGGTCTGTGTGCCCTGTACACGATTCGTAGTTTGCAATGAGATTGTATATAAGCGGTCATTTTTTTCCCAAGGACGCCAACAACATACACTTGGCCCACGATAATTTTCTTCCAAATGAGTTTGGTCCACAATACATTTGTTCCAACAAACAATTCATCCTGTAATATTTTGGAACAATTGGTAAATGAAAAAAATATTTATGAGGTCAAAACATTTTTGGTTTAAAAAAATAACGGCTTATCATTTTATATATTATAGGTTATATAGCCGATAGGTATTGGATATTAATTATTGACATGAAAATGTTACAAAAATGTTCTTAGCATAATAGAATATTACTATAGCTATGCTAGTTACATTAGGTGCCTTAATGTACATATTACATACTTTAAATAATATGATGTGAATGATATCTATCATGATATCATTACATAGATATCAATGATATCATTACATAGATATCAATGATATCATTACATAGATATCAATGATATCATTACATAGATATCAATGATATCATTACATAGATATCAATGATATCTATGTATGTATTTATGATACATACATTTTTTTTTCCAATATACCTACGAATTTCTTATTGTTATGATCTAAAATACTGTCGAACGCATTGAACATTACATATTAACTCCTAGAATTAAATTTCTGAATGCTAAAATAAAAATGAATCAAACGTAATCGTTTACGCCGTGATTACAACGGTGACGTGTTCATTCTCGATATTTTTAGCGACAGAAAAAACCCGTGTTTGTTTACATTGGTGTTGTTGCCACGGCCGCACAACATTCTCGGTATATACTATTTTTACCTACAGCAAACCCAACCTTTTGTTTGCATTGTTGTTGTTGCCACGGCCGCATAACATTCTCGGTATATAGTATTTTTACCTACAGCAAACCCAACCTTTTGTTTGCATTGTTGTTGTTGCCACGACCACACAACATTCCTGCTATAGCCGGCCCTCCGATCAATAAGAGTACTCGAATCCGCCACACCCCCGACCAATCAACAGCACCTATGCTCCAGCATTAGAATATATAAGGAGGTCCACACCAGCCTAAGAGTCAGTCTTTCAGAGAGATCCAAGAAGTTAACACCTGTTACATTCAAGTCCAGATCCATCCAAGTGCTCATTCAAGTGCCCATTCAAGTCCATCACTTCTGGTGTCCACTTTCTGGTGTCCACTTCTGGTGTGCACTTCTGGTGTCCACTTCTGGTGTCCACTTCTGGTGTCCACTTTCTGGCGTCCACACTTCGGTGTTCATTCATTTAATGTATACGCAACATTCGCCATCGGCGAAAACATTGGTAGCAGAGCGTGGTTACTGTAAACACATCATGGATTCCAACGAAGGAGATCTAGTAAGAGCCCAAACAATTCGTTCTCGGGCACAGGCTCAGCTCAAGGCATTCGAGTCATTCCTAACGGAGTATCTACTACTTCCCCAACTGACTTCTATGGTCACTCGGGAATTGGAAGTACGCCTGGATGACTTGGACAACATACGCACCACCTTCCAAGATGCTCATCTACAAATTGAAATGCTGGCCCCTGATGTCTTGGAGCCGAAAATTCAAGAAAGTTTTGACAACCTATACTTTCATTTATATGCAAAGGGCCGAGAACTAATTGCATCCTCAACTCTAGACAAACAGTCAGTAGGAAGTGAGCAGGGAACGCACACTAATTCACGACGACTTCCGGCTGTGAACTTGCCCCATTTTAGTGGAAAATTCGAGGATTGGCTATCCTTTCGAGATCTATTCGACTCGCTAGTACATGAAGACCAGCGTTTAAGTAACGTCGAAAAGCTGCATTATCTGAAAACATGTTTATCAGGTACAGCAAGTGGGATTGTGCAACCGTTGTCTGTCACATCGGACAATTACGAAGTTGCAAGATTACTGTTGAAAAACCGTTTTGAAAACACTCGCAGACTGGTGAACCACCACATGAACGAGCTGTTTGCATTAGAACGAGCTCAAAGGGAATCATCCTTTGCAATCCGGAAATTAATGGATGGTTTCAACCTACATTGGCAATCGCTCAAAAAATTAAATGTTTCAGTGGAATCTTGGGACACGGTCGGAATTCATTTTCTCGTCATGAAACTCAAGACAGGAATGGGAGGAATCGTGCACATCCAATTCACTACCGCCTCTCTCCCAACTTATAAGCTTTCTCGATATGCGAAGCACTTCGCTAGAGTCGATTGAAACGACCAAAATTGGCAGTCACAGCAACACAAAGAAAGAATTTGGTAGAGGAATTAAACGCAGGGTAACATCAGCCACAGCTGAAGTACACAAAAAACAAAGGCCTACAAGAAACAAAAATGGAGGTTGCCCTGTCTGTCCTGGCGAGCTTCATAAAATCTATCGGTGCTCAAAATTCTTGGCCGCAAAACCAAAGGCACGGTATGAAATTGTAAGACAGCACGGTTTATGTATCAACTGCTTGAGTACGGATCACCAATCAAAGGATTGCAGGTCAGGCAATTGTCAACGGTGTCAAGGCAAACACAACACGAGGCTACACTTTGACTCACCATCTTCATCAACGGAAGCAGCTACCAAAAATGAAACATTATGACTAGAAACTCAGTTATACCCATCAAGGGCTGACAAAATTATGACAATTACATCTTTACACAACATTTACAACTCTCATAGCGTACTATTGGCAACAGCCATCATTTTAATTCGAGCTGCTAATGGCATTGAGCACAATGCTCGCATATTACTGGATTCTGGTTCACAAGCCAATTTCATAACATCACATATGGCTGGACTGTTAGGGTTAAAACGCCAACCTGCCGAAACTACCATTTGCGGTATAAATGGCAACCGTTGTAAGGCACAGTACAGCTTAAAATGTGAAATCAGGTCCCGTATAGGAGCATACAAGAAGGTGGTCAACTGCCTAGTCATCAACCACGTTACCACAGAACTTCATTCGAATACATTGTCCATGTCGCTGGTAACTTCTCTATCCAAGGTTCCGTTGGCCGACCCTAAGTTCCATATCAAGGGAAAAATTGATATGCTGCTTGGAGCAGAATATTTCTATAATTTGTTATTTATCGGTCAAATCAAAGGACCTGGATCACTAACCCTTCAAAAAACTGGGTTCGGTTGGGTAGTAGTTGGACTAATAACTGATCCTACTTACAAAAACTCAAATGTGAATGCGTTACCTACGTCCACTTATAACCTAGACATCTTACTCGAGAACTTCTGGAGGGAGGAGGAAGTAGCAACAACTGCCATCCCAGGTACTAACAATCGGTGCGAAGTATTATTTAAACAGGACGTGTCTAGAGAGAAATCAGGGCGCTATACGGTCGGACTACCCTTTACAGACAAATTACATAAATTAGGTGAATCTGAAACTATGGCACGCAAGCGTTTCATGTCGTTAGAACAACGACTAAATAGGATGCCTGCTCAAAAGGTTGAATACCTTGAATTCATGCAACAATATATCCAGATGGGTCACATGTCCGAAAATGCAGTGACGAAATCTGAATCGCCTAACTTCTTTCTACCTCACCATGCCGTCTACAAAAAGGACGGACCAAGGTAAAAAATAAGAGTGGTATTCGATGCTTCGGCAAAGAGTACAACAGGCATTTCACTCAATGATACAATGATGGTAGGCCCGGTTGTGCAAGAGGATCTATTTTCTATTGTGTTAAGGTTCCGACGTCATCCCATAGTGATGACGGCGGACATTGAGAAAATGTACAGACAGATCCGAGTAAAACCTGAACACACACAATACCAGCAAGTACTATGGCGTGAAAACCCGAACTAGACAATCAGGTCTTACACACTTCGCACGGTGACTTATGGAACAAGTGCAGCCCCATACCTGGCCACACGCATCCTACAACAACTGGCCGAAGATGAGGCTCAATCATTTCCGGTTGCGGCATCGATTATGAAAACCGACTTTTACGTTGACGATCTGCTTACGGGTGCACTAAATGTGAGCAAGGCCGTACAAATCAGGGATGAACTGATTGAAATTTGTAGACGAGGAGGCTTTACACTGAGAAAGTGGTGTTCCAACCACGAAGACGTAACCGCTGGCCTGCCAGAAAAACTATTGGGGTCATCAGTAAACCTAACGCCAATGGCAGTCACGAAGATCCTTGGCATCCAGTGGGAACCAACACCGGACGTAATAACTTACAAGTCCATGGCATTGGATCCATTGGTGAAATGCACCAAAAGGATTGTAGTATCCGAAATGTCGCAACTATTCGATCCATTAGGATTAGTTGCACCAATAATAGTGGTAGCAAAATTATTTGTACAAACTCTATGGAGCTCAAAAATTGGTTGGGACGAATCAATGACATTAGCTCAGCACACAGCTTGGGCTCAGTACAGAGATCAGCTCCAGCAATTAACTTCGGTAAATATTTCTCGACACATTCAGATGGAAAACGGTTTTGAACTACACATATTTTGTGATGCCTCCAATAAGGCCTACGGAGCTTGCGCTTACATACGCTCCACCGCAGTGGTTAATTTGTTGTGTGCAAAATCAAGAATCGCGCCTATTAAGGCAACTACAATCCCTCGCCTCGAGCTATGCGCAGCAGTGTTAGCAACCCAGCTATTTAAAAAAATCTCGACTGCATTAAACGACTCAATTCAGAGGTGCACGTTTTGGACAGACTCATCAATTGTCCTAGCTTGGCTTAAAAACGTTAATGAAACTCGATGGAAGGTGTACGTCGCAAATCGTGTACAAAAAATACACGAAGTGACAGAGAGACATACATGGCGACATGTCCGTTCCGAACACAATCCAGCTGACCTAATATCTAGGGGTACGACTCCAAGCGTCATTGCCAAATCATGTCTATGGTGGAGTGGTCCAACTTGGTTAATCGATCCACCAGAAACATGGCCAGACACAACAGCATCCACACCAACGGTGATTCCAGAACAACGGAAGGCAAAGATGACAACAGCTCTGGGTGTGTCAACTTTTGTCGCGGATAGCTTGATAAACAAGTGCTCGACTTTTGTTAAGGCGCAAAGGGTGATCGCCTTCTGCCTACGCTTCATTACAAGAAAGAATCTTAGATACAAAGGGCCACTCAGGGCGCCTGAGTTAGAAGTTGCGACAATAAAACTAATAAAATTGCACCAAGGTCAGGCCTTTTACCACGAGCTAATTGAATTGAAGGCAGGTAGAGAAATCACAAGTAAAAAGAGTAAGATAAAACAACTCGTACCCTTCATAGATGGAGAAGGTATACTACGAGTAACTGAACGGTTACAAAAATCCAGTTTAAGTCATGGTGCACGTCATCCAGTAATACTAAATGCGGACTGTTCCATAATTCGGCTACTCATTGACCATGAACATAAAAAATTACTACATGCTGGTGCCCAACACTTAACGGCATCTTTACACGAGAGATATTGGATCCTGAACTTGCGCAGAACTGTTCGAAGGGTTGTATTCAATTGTATTCGATGCCACAGATGGAAGAAAAAAACCGCAGAACAGTTAATGGGTTCGCTGCCAAGTGTTCGACTTCACCCATCACCAGCCTTCAATATTTCCGGCGTAGACTATGCTGGGCCCTTTACATTACGACTCGGGTCAACTCGAAGCAAAATAACAACAAAGGCATGGATCGCATTATTTATATGTCTAACGACCAAGGCAATACACATCGAATTGGTATCCGACCTGACAAGTAATGCCTTCCTAGCGGCCTTCAGACGGTTTACTGCCAGACGAGGATTGCCCCTTAAAGTTTACTCGGACAATGGCACAACATTTGTTGGAGCTAGTAAGCAGATCTCGGCAATTATCTCGTCTGACAAATTTATCGAGGAGGTAACAACAGAAACTGCCAACTCAGGCATTGAGTGGCACTTCATACCTACCCATGCCCCACACTTTAGGGGAATATGGGAAGCCGGTGTGAAAAGCGTAAAATACCATATAAAGCGGGTCCTGGGTGAGACACGTTGCTCATACGAAGAACTATTAACAGTCCTAAACCAAATAGAAGGCGTACTCAATTCAAGACCACTTTGTGCAGAGTTCGACGATCCAGAATCTTTAAGTGCGCTAACACCCGCGCATTTTTTGATCGGGAGGCCAATTACAGCACTTCCAAACGAAAACGACTCGCATACTAAATCATACCGCACTCGATAGGCCATGATACAATCAATGTTTCAGGAGTTTTGGAGCAGATGGATCAGGGAATATGTTGTCATGCTACAAACCCGTCCAAAGTGGACCAATAGCCAACCTAACATAACAAAAGGAACGCTAGTGTTGGACCACATTAACAACCTGAACCCTGGACAATGGCCATTAGGACGAGTTCTGAAAATTCACGCGGGCAACGATAACTTTGTTCGCGTAGTTACGATACGAACAACTAAGGGTGATTTTTTAAGGCCAATAACAAAATTATTTGTGTTGCCAATCGACCATTGTGACACGTCACGGGTCAGCAAATAACTCGATTACCCTTGCCAGGTACCGATCATCACATAACCGAACCAACGATTTCGTAGTCAATGGTAAAAAACAGCATAAGCCACATGTTTTTTTTTTGTTTTTCTCTTTTTCTCACACAGAGAAAATATACTGTACTTGTAAAATATAATGTACTTGTAAATATACTTATTACATATGATTACTTAGTTGAACAGACGCATACACATTTATGTGGATTGTTAATTTTGTTGTTTGTTTGTGTGTTTGTATAGTCACTTCAATATGTCATAAAAATCGTTGCGAATATTGTTGCAAGGGTAATTCCTCAAACTTGTCATTAAAAAAAAAAAAAAAAAATATATATATATATATATACATATATGTCTCTTGATCATATATATGTACTTATTTAAAAAATAAAAAATCCAAAACAACACGCTTCCACCATTAAGGCACTCTTAATGTTTATTTTTGTCGTTCGCGTAAAAAAAAAATTTGCTCATTACTTAGTCACAATCACACGGTTGATTACTTTAGTCACAATCACACGGTTGATTACTTAGTCACAATCACACGGTTGATTACTTAGTCACAATCACACGGTTGATTACTTAGTCACAATCACACTATTCATTACATGGTCATAACCACACGGTTGGTAACATTATCATAATCACATGGCTAAATATGTAGTCTACATGTTAAAAGGAAAACTTTGATTCCTGCTTTGTTATGATGGAATACGATCACTCGAGCCGTATTGATACTACTGTATCAATGGCCGGCGGCATGTTTACGCCGTGATTACAACGGTGACGTGTTCATTCTCGATATTTTTAGCGACGGAAAAAACCCGTGTTTGTTTACATTGGTGTTGTTGCCACGGCCGCACAACATTCTCGGTATATACTATTTTTACCTACAGCAAACCCAACCTTTTGTTTGCATTGTTGTTGTTGCCACGGCCGCACAACATTCTCGGTATATAGTATTTTTACCTACAGCAAACCCAACCTTTTGTTTGCAGTGTTGTTGTTACCACGACCACACAACATTCCTGCTATAGCCGGCCCTCCGACCAATAAGAGTACTCGAATCCGCCACAC